TTCCAGACCGTCTGCCTCAAAAAGAAACGGGCCAGCGAGAGGACTGCACCTAAACCGTCGGCCAACTCCATCAAGCTGCATGCTGTCGCAGAGGAGCGCCCAAGCGCCAAGTTTGTGGAGGTGCTCGTCAACGGCCGCTCACTTGCGTTTAAGGTGGACTCAGGCGCTGAGGTTAATGTCCTGCCCAACACCTTCGTTGGAGTTACCTCCCAGCTGCAAGACCCCGTGGGTGAGCTAAAAGGTCCTGCCAATCACAGCCTACCGGTCCTAGGCACCTTCGTTGCATTACTCTTGTAGCCCGGTTGGTCTGTAAAGCAGCGGCTCTACGTGCTGGCGACCAAGCGCGTCGCGTTGCTGGGTTTGCCAGCAATTCGGGCCTTCGGAGTCTGCCAGTTCCTCGACTGCGTCTCGAAGCCTCCGGAGCCTTCCGTGGACTTGTCGCTCGGCCCCAAACTCTTCCGTGGACTCGGAACACTACAGGGGGAGTACACCATCCGCCTAAAGCCAGGCTCGACACCGTTTTCTTTGAGTGTGTCCCGGCGCATTCCGCTCCCGTTCTACAAAATCGTCAAGGCAGAGTTGGACAAGCTCGAAGCCGACGGCGTTATCCGTCGCGTCGACACTCCTACGGACTGGTGCTCCGGGTTGGTCGTCGTTCCCAAGGCTACCGGTGGCTAAGGCTCTGCGTAGACCTCACTCGACTTAACAAGGTGATCCTTCGGGAGCGTCACCTACTGCCGATTGTAGGACAATGCATCGGGTTGCTTAGGGAGGCGACTGTGTTCTCCAAGTTGGACGCGACGTCGCGCTTCCACCAAGTCAAGCTGACACAATTGTCGCAGAGTACACCACGTTCATCACCCCGTTTGGCCTCCACTGTTTCCTCCGGCTGCCGTTCGGGATCGCATCTGCACCGACGTTCTTCCAACGGCAGATGTCCCGGATCCTTGAAGGTCAAGTAGGTGTGGTGAACATGATTGACGACATCCTAGTCTTCGGCAAGACCCGCTCGGAACACGACTGTCGTCTCCGGGAAGTCCTTTTACCGACTGGCGAAAGCGGGAGTCACCCTCAACAGCAAGACATGTACCTTCGCTTCGAGCAGCCTGAAGTTCCTCGGAGTCATCGTCAGCGCCCAAGGCATCTTCCGGATTCTGACAAGGTGGAGGCTATCCAAGCTATGGCTGCACCTGAAGATACCGCCGGCGTTCGCCGTCTTTTGGGCCTGGTCAATCGTATTGGCCGCTTCCTATCTCACGTATCGGAGGTGACAGTGCGGCTCCGCGCATTGTTGCTTAAGAACTCTGTGTGGAACTGGGGCAGCGCTCAACAGTCTGCCTTCTCCAGGTTAAAGCAGCTGCTTTGCTCGGACCTCTGTGTCCCGCGGTATTACGCCGCCTACAAGACTGTCGTCTCAGCTGATGCCAGCTTCTTCGGGCTTGGGGCCGTGCTCCTGCAAGAGCGACGTTCGCGTGAACGTCGGAATTTTGCTTCCCGTGCTCTTACGCCTACAGAACAGCGCTACAGCCAAACGGAGAAAGAGTCCCTGGCTGTGACCTGGGCTGTGCTTAGATTCGACCAGTACCTGCGTGGACTCAACTTCACCGTCGAGACCTACCAACTGCCTCTTGTCGCCCTGCTTGGTGGAAAGGATCTGGAGCTGCTGCCACCTAGGATTGAACGGATGCACATCAAGCTGATGCGCTACCAGTTTGGTCTCCAGCATGTGCCAGGCAAGCTCATCGCCACTGCAGACACCATTTTCCGAGCACCCTGCAGCGGAAGCTCCTCCCCTACGGTCCGGTCTATGGAGCTCTTTGTCAAGGAGCTACCCCCGAACTTGGTACCTTACTGGAAGGAGAGGGGTAGACTGACAGTTTCCGAGGGACTACTCCTGCTAGACTGTCGCCTTGTGATTCCTGCTGCTCTGCGCCCCAGCATCCTGGCCCTTCTACACGACAGCCATCAAGGACTCAGACGCAGCAAGGAGTGCGCACGAGAGACCGTCTGGTGGCCCGATTGCGCCGTCCACATCGTGGATCTGGTCGCCGGCTGCTAGAAGTGCTCAGAGACGAGAATTGTGCGGCCGGAGCTGCTAATCTCGACGACAACGCCCGACCGACCATGGCAACACCTGGGCATTGACCTCCTCCAGCTGAAGGGACGAGAGTATGTTCTGGTCGGGGACAACTATTCACATTTCCTGGAGGTGGTCTCCATAATCTCCACGCCTGCCTCAGCGATCAAGAGCTGTTTCGCACGGCACGGCATCCCCGATGTAGTCCCGACCGACAATGTTCCCCGGTTTTCTTGCCAGGAATTTAAGCACTTTTCGCGGGTCTATGGCTTCAGACACGGGACCAGCAGGCCTCGATATCCTCAAACCAACGGGGAAGTGGAGCGTATGGTCCGTACGGTGAAGGACCTACTCCCGAAGACCGACGACCCCTACCTGGCACTCCTCACCTACCGGGACACTCCTGCGGTTTTTGGCGTGTCACCTGCCCAGCTGTTGATGGGTCGACGGCTCAAGACGTGGCTACCTGCGTTGCCGGGACGACTTGCACCAACACAGCCTAGCCACAAGACCTTCAGAGCCCAGGATGCATGGAACAAAGCACGCTAGGCTCGTGATTTCCGTCGCCGCCATAACGCCCATTCTTTGAGCCCTCTGATGCCAGGCGATACAGTCTGGGTGACCGATGCCAACTGCCGAGCCCAAGTTCTCAGCCCGGCCCAGCGGCCCCGTTCGTACATTGTCGAGACTCCAAGGGGTACGCTCCAGCGGAACCGGAGACCCATGGTGCCGTTCGCTTCGTCTGGGACCACAAGAGAGCCAGACTCCCCACCTGCTTCGGAGCAGTCGCCTGGTCTTCGACCCTGCGGAGAGTCGACAGGGCGTCGACTAGCGGGGCAGTCTCCGGGACCCCGACCTCAAGCAGCCTTACCAGTGGAGTCGTCAACTGCGGGGCTCTCACCGCTAGGAGGAGTCACAAGGACTCGTTGTGGTCGCCTGGTCAAGCCACCACGACGGCTCAATTTGTGAACTCGTTGTTTTTGGTCTAGTAACACTCCAGGAGGGGGATGTAGGGGTCGCTAACTATGTGCTACCGGGCTTAGCTTCTGATTCCCGAGATGGCGCTAGCTGTTCATCGCATATATATACTTAAGAGCTTGGTTCAGAGAAAGCCTCCGGTGTCGTCGTTCACTATCGCTCGATACCGTCCCGCCCACGCGGCGCCGAACAACAACGTGGCTGGGTGCGAGGCTAAAGAAAAAAGTTGTAGACCATCACTGCCATCTATTACATAATTTTTTCACTCTTCAGTTAGTCACCCTTTAACATCCTAACAATATTTTCTCTCCAAAATTCCACCACCTAGACGCACCACTATAACATTCATAGTGCAATATGTTGAGAAAGCAATTTATGAGGAATATCTAAATTAGGTTCAAAGCATTAGTGCACACGCACTAGATTTCCTAAAGAAACTGAAACATTATCAACTTATTATTCGTACCTACATCTACATTCAAAGCGGGGATTTTATTTGTGTTCTGCTTCGTAGTCTTTATGCAATGTGACGGGAAAAAATAAAGTTGCCTCTCCATTGGAAAATAACACTTCAGCCTTGATGTGTTATTAGACCCCCTCAGCGCTTAAAGTACCTTCAGCCCAGCAAACTCCTCAGTCCTACAAACTCCTTCAGCCAGTCACACCTTCAAACCCCTTCAGCCTAAACCGCACCAGCCCATCAACAATTTGTAGGCCCAAATGACTGATACATAGACAAAATTGCAGTTTGAAACATTATTGGAAATATATTTGAAATAGAGTTTTACATGGATTTTCTAACTCAAAACTACGGCAAGAACCACAGTATACTCAAACCCGGAAAGAAGCAGTTGTAGACGAAAGCGACCATACTAAATAGGGACAACCAAGTTCTTTGTCGCTAAATATATCTTTAAAGTTTTTGACAATGTCGCAGGGAAACGTTTTGGGATGCACGGTAGTTCAACTAATGAAACCGAGCAGGTGCACCGCACAGGCCCATACACACCGTCAGTAATACGTTTAGGAAAAAAAAACGAACCCGCAATCAACATCCACCGCCATTGACAAATTTTGAGCACCGTCACGGTATCGCCCCCGGCGTCTTTCCCGCTCGCTGGATGCCTTGGAAGCCGGACGGAAAAAGAGGCGGACTGAGATACCTGGCACTGAGATACCTTCTTGATCTGCGCACTCAGCTGCTCTAGAAGATAGGTCCCATACATGGGACGGGAAGCCGACACTGAGCGACCGTTCGTTGTTGTGCATTTAGTTTGCTCTCGTTGACGGAAAGAAAACAGGGCGACCAAATTCTGACGAAGGCTGTCTTTCGACTGACTTAAAACGGGGTTTCTTCAAATAAACAGCAAAAAATTCCCCTCTCGTTTTCCCCACACATTCTCTCTTCCTCGTGAGCAAGAAAAAAGGTTGCGTGGGGACGCGTCCTTGGCCGTCCCTAGTCCAGCCCGTAAAAAACATACACAGAACACGCAGACACAGCAATGGAGCCGCGAAGACCACGACAGGAAAGAGACGGGAAAACGTCCCCTCAATTAGCAAACCCGCAGCGGTCGAACGATCTAAAAATCTTCAAGCGGCTTCCCCGACGGATATATCCTGAAGGGCCACAAAATAGCTAAAATGATCTGATGGGTGGTGTGGTTTCACGAAAAGGATTAAGACTGACCGCACAGGTCTCTCAAAAAGCTATGGTGGGTCTTTTACACATTTTAGGAATTCCCAAAGGGTACGTCATAACCCTTAGAAATCTTTGACAAACATTTTAAACACGTCAAACATGTTTGATGAGTACGTCAAAACCTTTTAGAAATCCTGGTGGGCACAATAGACGAATTTTAAGTAGGGTCTTTCGTCGAGATGATGTATAGTATCAGCTCATCAGCTTGCCCTACAAGAAAGATTTATCAAAAATCAAGACACTCACGTGGTAACAAAAATAATGGCACTAATGGGTTCATGGGGGTGCGTGTTCTTCCACTTCTTCTCTACTTTGGTCACCTGTTTCTTCAGAAGTTTTTTCAGCGCTTCAGCCTTGAGACTTCTGGTGGCAGTCTCAGCTTGCTTGCCGGGCTGCAGAAATAAGATACTATAAATAAGAAAGATATGCACACGCAGATGACACTTACGTTCCACTCGCTGGCCTGTAGAAAAGTGAACGTTACATGGAGTATATTTTTCCGAGTCCCAAATATATCGTTGATCTGGAAGAAAAAAGGGCGACAGGTGATGAGACGCAGTAGAGTATTTTAGTCTTAAATGTATTTAAAAAATGCAAAACACTTTCTAAAGGAACAAAGTAGCCTGCATGAAATTTAGAACAACTTTCTTTTTACAGTTTTTTTTTAGTTTATACGGCAAGCATGAAGGCGCAATTCCATAATTAAATCTGCGGTCCTGCGGTGGCCACCGTTGCGTTGTGCATTAATGCAATTTGTCGTTTTATTACACTTAGAAGTGCCCTATACGTGGCTCCGAATAATATTATATTTGTTTATCTAAGAACCTTAAAATAAGCCTTGATGGTAGTGGACAATTTATTAAATGAAATTAAAGAAAGTATATATCCTCGACCTGCCTCATGGTTACCTTGGTTAATTAAAGACGGCTGGTTAAACAAATATAATTTTATATTCTTCATGTGATAGCCCCCTATTGAAAAAGCGGATATCAATGGTATACAGGAAGTGTTACAGAAGGTGGTTCCTGTATACTTCTGAATGGGAAGAGCTACGGGAAGGTTTCCTGTTTATCCCTATATGGGTTCTTTGTGTGGGAAACCAGTTCCGTTATAGACCGCGAGGAAACAAATCATCTCCCGCATATACTCAAATAGGAAGTCCTAAAAGGTTCCTTACAGGAAGCCACAACCTGTATGGCCTTATTGGGATGTCAAACTCCATTAAGTAAGATATTATACTTTAAAACATGTCTCACGCACTGTTTCAGTTTCAGTACACTCCCTAGCAAAAATTGTAATAAAGATATGTATCGGACCAATAGACATTTTTATCGGTCTGATAGGAATTTCTATTTGTTCTATAGGAATCTGTATCGGTCCAATAGGAATTTTGATGAATCCCATAGGAATGTACAGGGTGTCACAAAAGAAGATTTACACGGTCTTTTTTACCGCAAAAATAAACTAGGCATCGCCGAACGCCCATTCTTCACCCAAAGGTAGAGCTAGAGGTCACAACCAGATGCCAAACTTTCAGCCCGATCCGATGACTTAATCAAAAGTTATGTGATTTTCTGAAAATTTCAATGGGAAAATGGAGCCCATTTTTGCTCGTTTTCGGTTTCTGGTGCCATACAGCCCCATGTGTTCGAAAACTCCGTCGGCCGTCATTTTCCCATTGAAATTTTCAGAAAATCACTTATAACTTTTGATTAAGTTATCGGATCGGGCTGAAACTTTGGCATCTGGTTGTGACCTCTAGCTCTACCTTTGGGCGGAGAATGAGCGTTCGGCGATGCCTAGTTTATTTTTGCGGTAAAAAAGACCGTGTAAATTTTCTTTTGTGACACCCTGTATATCGGTCCCATAGGAAGGTTTATAGGGCCTTTATGAACTTCTATCGGTCTAATAGGTATTCCTATTGGTTCCACAGGAGGTTAGACTGGTCCCATACGAACTTTATCGGACCATTAGAAATTTTTATCAGTCTAACGAAATGTTTTCTTGGCCAATCAGGAATGTCTTCTTGACTATAGTGAAAATCTCGAGTGATCCAATAGGTATGTCTAGGCCAATTGTGCATGTCTATCTGAGCAGTACAAACCAATTAGACATATGTCAGTCAGAAAAATGCAAATGCACATCGGACGCAACAATCGAGAATCGGAGAAATGGGAACACGTTCTTTTACTCTCGCAAAGTTGTTTTTGGGCGGAACTGATATATTTGTCTGACATCCATCTGAGGCAAATATAGTTCGTGTCACAAATACACCGGCAAATTTGATGAATGCGTTATGTAATCTGGGCTGTGTGATACAAATATCTACTTCACGTCCAAAGATATGTCCTCACTAAAAATCCAGCATGTATAAAGAGTACATTAGTGGAGTTAATTATGCGACAATGTTGCGCTTATTTTTTCCTTAATATGTTCGGGCGGCAAAAATGGTTTCAGCCCAGGTTACATAACACACTATCGTTATACATCAATGGGGTTATGAAAAATCGAATAGATTTGTAGCTCGAAGTTAATGCTAGAATCAGACTAACATACACTCACAATTTAGAGGAAAATAGCATATTGCAATGCTTGCTTTTCTGACGGAATTTTAGGACAATGCCATAAATATTACTTTGGAGCTTGGTGCGTTAAAATGATTTACTAATAAAAAAGTGTAAACAGAAAATATTTTTACGGCATCCTTCTATCGAGATTTAGTCAGTTTCGGTTTCGGTTTTCTAAGGAAACAGATCACCTTCGCTAGCGACACCAGTTCCTCTTTCTTTTTTCTCCGACATAGTTGCGCTAGTCGTGCCTTCACTCTAAAAAAGCCCGTGCATCTGCTTTCTAGCACAACACTCGGAGAGCCAATCATGGCAACTTACGAAGGCAGCTCAGCGAATGACAATGCCGAAACGTATGCTTAGACCAAAAAACGCAGTCTGAGTTGCGACATTAAGCAATGCAAGCCTGCCGTTTTACATTGCTTAATGTCACAACTGAGACGGCGTTTTTTGGTCTAAACATTTGTTTCGGCATTGTGATTTGCTGAGCTCCCTCCGTAAGTTGCGGTGATTGGCTCTCCGAGTTTTGTGCGTGCAAAGTAGACGCACAAACCTTTTTTAGAGCGTTGGGTGCGTCTGTCTCGCGGGATGGAAATGCTTTTACACGTAGAAATGTTATAATTTATTTAAGTTTATCTGTCTGTGAAGTTTGCTGTTATGATGATGATGTTCAAGAAGAGCGTGGAATGTCCACGACGCGACAGTCTGACTTGCAACTCAACACACTTGGTAAGTATGCTTTTTGATATTTGTTGGCATTGTAGACGCGTGGAACAAGTTGTGAACTTTTGGGAGTTTTGGAATAACGTCCGCAAACCCTAAGAAATAACGTCGTCGCTACTGCGCATGCGTAAACCCAAAACGAGCCTTAGGGCTTGGGATTTTGGGGCCGCTATTTTTCGGATATAGTGTGGGATGGGGCCTGAACGCGCCCCAAAATACCGCTGAAAATGAAGGCGCCCACGACAACTCTGTTGATCGCATCTTCGACGACGCCGTCCTCTCGGGAACTGTGTTAGTTGCACTCGGTGACCGCAACCGCAGTCGGTATACAGTCCCCGTGGCGCGCATGCTTGCAAGAGAGCGCCGTTCGAGAAGGATCCGTCGCGTCGAAGGCGCGTACTCCGCCGAGGCCGCCGTTGCACGCACGCAGCCAGGCTAGCTTGCCCGCTCTGTGGATAGACGAGTAGGACACAGATGAACTTACGGACAGACGAAGACACCCAATCTCACAGGCCCCCTTCATCTACCGCAATTCTTTCACCCGCATCCCCTTTCCGTAAAAACGGCCGCGTGTCGCGGGTGACGTACACGCAAAACAACGACCGTAATTTCTTCTACAGACCGCTACTACGAAAACACCGCGGCAAGCGCACTCAAGTATCAGTGCAAAAGGGACAGTATGCACCCCTACCGTCACAGTGTGTGGAAATAGTGCACTCAGACAACAATAAAAGAAACATTGTACACCACTGTCTTCACACTTTCCACCAACATCTCGCCGCACTGCGCGAACAGCACACAGGAATCGCTGTCACTTAATCGAATTCCTCTCAAAATGTTTGCTAACAACTCGGGCACACCTGCTAATGCACGTTTCCACAGATGTTTTTAGAGAAGCAGGTCTAGCGTGCTCATGTAGGACTTAAGGTTGTGGGCACCCTGGTGGCTCCCCAGCCCAGTTTCCAGACTACGATGCACAGGTGGCGGACTTTCCCGGGTGGCGCGGAGTCAAGCCGGCCGCGCGCACATCGCGCGCGCCGCCTTCATAAGACGAATCAGAGGCGGCGCATTGTATTGGCGTGTTTCGAACTGTTTGTTTTCTGGCCGCGACAATCGTTCTGCGCTCTTTTGTTAGTTTCAGGTGGGCGTTTCTTTTCTTACTTTTTCGCTTCTCTTGCGCTTGTGTTGGTTTATGGTGACGTTTCTTTTTTTTTTGTGCTTGCAGGCATGCTCACATGGGAGCAGGGAGCCGCGACGGCCGCAGCAGCAGAAGTGACCCTATTCACGAAGGTCCCGGTGACGTGCGATTCCGTGATGCAGCGCCTGGCCCTCACGCCTGGCCGGCAGGAGACTCCACCGCGAGAGTCCTGACCACACTTGACGATTCCAGTCTACACGAGGTACGACGACGTTAAGTCCGTGGCAAACTTCCTGGGCGAGTTGCAGACGTACCACCTTGCCTCCGGTGCATCGGAAGCTTTCATCGGGGACCGCATTGTCCCACTGGCGTTGGAAGGCAGCGCCGAGTGCTCGTTGTGGTCGCAGGCCCCCTTCACCACCTGGCGGACTTACAGACAAGACTGCAAGAAGAGTTCCTGCCCGGTGGCTACGCAACGGAGATTCTCCGAGAGCTCGACGCAAGGATGCAGCACCCGGAGGAAAGTGTGGTCCAGTGCGTTCGGGTCATGCTAGAGCTGCTCAAGAGGGCGGACCGAATACACCGCAGTCGGACCGAGTAGCTCGGGTCAGAAGACTGTGCCACCTAAGATACCACGATAACCTCAGGAACCTCACATTTGAGACCCTTGAAGAGCAGGTCTGGGGCGCCCGCCTCATCGAGGAAGCTAATCATGCTGCGCGGAACTACGTGTCGCCGCGACCAGCGAAGTACGCGTTAGAACCGGCATGCGCATGGCAGGACCTTAAGGCCTCCGCGCAAGCGGACTGTCCGATCGAGGCCTTCCTTCCCCACCACGTACACCATGAGAGTTGGCATGACACGCATGGCGTTCACCCGTGCGGGATAAGTGGACGTTCGCCTAAATCTCATCGAGAGGTCCCCGGAGGTCACAGCGGGGCCCGTGAGGGTTCCGGGCGGAGGTCGTCACGACAGGTGGGAGGTCGTTGGCCGCGCCATATAGAAATCTGGGGCCCAACGGAGATAATCATCCAAGCGAACCGACTTCGTCAGTCTGCTCCTGCAAGTGCTGGGGAAAACTAGCACTCTGCGATT